TATCCTCAGATGAGGACAAAAAGAAAAACGTTTCTGATGGAATTCGAATTAGGGCAGTTTTGCCATGAGTGAGAGGCGCCGTAGACGTGGAGGGAGTGACCCGGGGGTCGCGGAACGAGGGCGCCCTGCTCGGCGAATGCAGAGAACCGCCTGTAACCGCGCCCCTCCTCTGCCGCTGCGCTCAGGGTCCTGGGCTGTCTGCTCCTCCCCGGGGAATGAACGGAAGCCGCGGAGCAGGGGGCCGATGTGATCAGACGTGCCTTTAAAACTGCTCTTGATAGAAGACACAGAAGTGGAGCGAGCGCTGGGCTGGACGCAGGGGCCCCCGGAAGCGTCAGGCGGGCAATGCGGGCCTGTGTGGGGTGGCGACCGAGAGCTGCGGGCCCAGCCAGCCTGGGTCCCGGCCGACGGTCCCTTGCTACCTCGGAGACGTTGGGAAGAGACCTATGTTCTCGAGGAATCAGGTTTTTCATCTACAAACTGGGTGTAACAACAGTGCCTGCTTTCCAGGCTCCTCGGGGAGCGCTCAGCCCCATTCCTGACCCGTGGGAAGCCGTCCGTAACTGTCGCCTAGAGGCAGGGATGGCTGTCTGGCGAAAGGGGAGGACAGAGGAGGGTCAGAGTTGAGAGAAACTTGGCCTCCCTGACCAGCCCCGGGCGGTCAGGGCCGGAGAGGAGTTCTCCAAGCTACGATTCCTCTCCGAGGCAGCGGGGCTGGGGCGGGCCAGCGACGCGCTGCGGGAGACGAAGCGCCAGATAACGAGCAAGAGGCAGGAGGCGAGAGACAATGAATGAGGTGTAGACACGCTTAAGTCAAACCTGTTGAACATGCAGGTAAGGCTCCCGGCAGTTGCGGGCCTGAGACACCGCTGGTAGTTGGAACCGCGGGACAGAGGAAGGTTTCTCAGATTGAACGCGAGATGAATGATTACCACGCAGAGGCATAGATTTTTCCTTTATTTTCCTGGCGCCCGCCAAGGACATCCTTCTGAGCCTGCCTAGACTCCTGCACGAGGGGGGCCGGGGTTTGTGAAACAGAGAAGCAAAGAACGTGTAAGAGGGGGGACGCAGGCCCGGGACGCGCCGAGCCCAGGGGCCCGCCGGCCTCAGCCCCACTGCAGCGGGTGCCCGTCCCCCGGGGCCTGCTCTGCGGGGGAGGACGGGGGTCCTGTCAGAGGTATTTTTCGCTGTTGGGTGGGCGAGCAGCGGCATCACAGGGTCAGATCCGGACCAGCCACGCGTGCAGGGTAGAGGAAGCAATGCCCAGGCGTCCGGACGGGGGCTGGCGTCAGGCCCCGGGTGAGCCGGCGGGAGCTCGGAGCAAGGCTCCGGTCCCGGTGGGGCCCATGGTTACAGATCAGGTGGACACGCAGCCGGAGTCTAAGATAAACGCAGGGCGAGGGATAGAGTGCTGCTCAGAGGGTGTGGGGAGCCCAGGCCCTCCCCTGGGACCCAGGTGAGACTCCCCCCACCGTGGGAACGGGGTCCTTAACAGACGTGGCGGGGCAGGCGCGGGCATCGGCGGCGGGCCACCCCCAGAGCTCCAGCGGCGCTTGGCGTTTTCAGTCTCCTCTCTCACCCTTCACTTCTGTCCCTCAAAGGCCCGATGAACTGACATTTCCTCGCAATTCCTGGTCCCATCCTCTCCCCAGCCGACCAGATCTGTCCTCAGCATAGAGTCCCCGGGGTCCCATGAGACTATGCACGTGCGCACAAGACACACGCGGGTCACCCTCCGCCGCTGACTTCTGGGCGCGCCCGTGTGGCGGTGCCGGGACGAGCGTGCACAGGACGGCCACCGCGGGGCTCCCGGCTCCCCAGGCCGGCTTTCCCCGCCGGCTGCGCTCCCCCCGCCACAGGGTCGCGGCCACACCGAGGTCAAGGCCGACCCCGGCCGCAAGCAGCACAACGTTGTGGGGTGTCCGCTCAGGATGCAGTCGTGCTTCCCCCTCGGACACCTCCACGGGGCAGTGGCTGTGGTTCTGGTTCTACCAGCGAGGAAATGGAAGCTCTGAGGCCTCGGGAGGCACTGGCCGGGGGTCGTGGACGGGCCGGGGAGAGCCTGGAATCTCCCCGAGGCCTGGCTCCGAGATCCGGGCCTGGAACTGCCACCCGCTCATGAGACAGAGGCCTCCGAGAGCGCGGTTCCTATTCTCTGGAGCGTGAGCTCATGTCTGCGTCATAGAAGAAGCTGGGGACCGCATCACCCCTATTAATAAGTAAAGGAGCCTGGCGGCCTGGTCAAGGGGCTCATCTCTCATTAACGGAGAGCAGGGCTGGGAAGGAGGGTGTTCTTGGTAGTCGTCTAGGGAACGAAACACCACACTGCACTCTCCGAAAAGACAGCCCCCGGGCACGTCCGCGCGACCCCTTCGCTGCCTTCTCTATCCTGGAGAGGCTGGGAAAACGGGAGTTCCCACGTGCGCCTGAGCGGGGAGCAGAGCCGACGTGGCACGGTCGCGTGCGCAGCGTTGTGCGGGGAACAGGGCCAGTCACCGGTCATCCGACCTCAGCCCCTGCTAATCAAAGCCGCTTCGCCTGTTTGCCCCACCATTGGTGCCTGGAGGATTGGGAGTTGACATGGATTCGAAGAAGAATCACAAGGTTAAAAAGAACTAATGCGATGGAATTGAGGGAGCCTGTGAAGAGCCGGGGAGAGCGGCAGGAGCCACGTCCCCACTGCGGGGGCAGCGGGGAGCCGGGGAGGGGGTTCCGCAGGGAGCGCCGGGCCGGGCCGGGCCGCACTGCCCGGCTGTAGTCAGGCCTGCGGAGGGCGGGCGGTCATCAAGAGGCAGGACGCTCACAACTGCAGGCAGGGGATGGAGCGGTATCTGAGAACCGCCCCCTACAGGTCACGGTCACAGGGCTCTGCTCTCCACTCTCAGCAGGTGGCCAACAAGATAATGGGGATCAGCAACCCCGGGAACAAGAACTATGATGCTCATTTTGTGGAAGGAAAGGCTTCGCCGCTGCCATACGGCCAGATGAGCTCCCAGGCCCTGTTTGTTGACGCCACTGCCATTTGGCTACATTCGCCGTGCCGTTCGTGACATATGTGACCAGCTTCCTCCGCAGAGCCCTAGAAATTCCCAGATGACTGGTCGCTGACCCGCTCACCCACCCTCCAGGGGTTCCGCAGGCGCCTGCTGAGCGCTTGGTGGATTCCAGCACTGAGCCTTGTGAACCCCAGGAACTCCGCTGCGTTCGCGTCCCAGACCCGCAGAGGGCAGAAACCACCCCCCCGCCACAGGAGTTCGGTCCCAGCTCCTCGGAACGCTCTCGCTGAGGACAGGCCCTGCTCTCGAAATCAGGCGACGTGCGTCCAGATAGGGCACCTTGCCCACGTCAGGGGTGCCTCTGTAAAGACACCCCCCCACGGAGTGTGTGATTGAGCTGCCACCGTGACTGCTTAGCAGAGCGTCAGGTGAACGTTGACATTCGCGCGTGCAACTAGTCCTTCCCTGTGTGGGCTCAAGCCCCGCGCCGTTCTCGGTGCACCTGCCCCAGGCGGCCGGCAGCGGACTCGGCAGCCTCCTGGATTCATTCCCGAACCCTCTCTCTTCCTGTTCCCTTCTTCTGCTTCTCGTCGTAGTTCGACATCTGCTGCTAACCTCAGGTCAAGCTAGAAACTCTGGACTCGCCTCCATTCCCCTGAGGACTTACGTCCTCTGCCGGGAACTTCTAGATCTTACCATTGCGTTCACAGCGGCCTCCGCCTCTCCAGCACGGCCGGGTCTTTCGTGCGCTGAAGTCTCCCTCTCCATCTTGGGCAGCGAGCCTCGGGCGCCCCCCGAAACTTCTCAGCCGCGCCCCAGCCTCCCCTGCCGCCTGCCTTGCCCTGCAGAGCTTTTGAACGTAGTCTGCTGCTTCTGATCGGAAATTCTCCGTTTCGCTCAAAGCCTGCGTTTCCCCTTCATCTCCGTGCCCTCTGCTTGGTCGCCAGCTGGAAGGGAAGTCCCTTCCCCCCCCGAAGTCACACTTCCTGGCTTCACCATCTTTATCCAGTACGCGTGGAGCACCTACGAGCTTCAGAAGCCAGGACAAGAAGACAAGACACATTCCGCAGCTGCCAGGCCCGATGGGCAGGACAGGTGTGGGGACAGGTCCTCGCAGAGTTATTATCCCAAATGTAAGAAGGCCGGGGACTCAGCACAGGGAGGAAGTGAACTGGGTTTTCAAAGGGGGAAAGGAGTTTCCCAGGGAAGGAGGCAAGGCGGAGTGCTCCAAGAATAAGGCGCATCGCATGCTGAGAGCTGGGGTGGGAAGCGGCAGCTGGGGGAGCTGTTATTTTTGGAGGCTGATGTTCAGAGGCGCCGCGGGGAGTGAGGCTGAGGGGGGAAGAGGACGGAGAGCCGTAAATGCCTTGCCAAGAATTTTGAAGGCCATGGAGGAGGAGTGGTTGGTTGTATTTTTTTAAATCCTCCCTCGAGGTTGTGCTTATTGATTTTAGAGGGAGGGGAAGGGGAAGAAAGAGGGAAAGAAACATCGATCGGTGGCCCCACCCCCGTATACACCCTGACCAGGGACTGAACCGCATCCCAGGCATGTGCCCCAACCGGGAATCGAACCAGCGACCTTTTGGTTTATGGGACGATGCCCATCCCAGTGAGCCACACCAGCCAAGGCAGGAGTGAACGGTTTTACCCTAACAGCCAGAGTAAAAAGACCACCTGATCTAGAGAGAAGGGACTGCCTGCGGCAGCCGCAGGCCGCAAACCAGGCACGAGGCCATTGCAGTGCTACAAGCGAGAAATGAGGAGGGCATGTGAAAAGGGCGTTAAAGGGGCGAGGCATTAATGATGTTGAGAGCACGTTGTTGACGTGACTTGGTGACTGAGGGGACGCGGGGCACGACGACTCCTGGACAGGGCACCCGGGTGGGCACGGGGGCCGCTCACGGCGGAGGAGGACGCGCGGAGGGCGGGGGCGCGGCGCGGCGCGGCGCGCGGCCGGACTGCGTGGCGCACAGCACCGACCGGGACGCGCGCTCTGTGTCGCAGCCCTGGCGGACGGCCTCCAGGTCACGGTGCCCGACAAGAAGAAGGTGGCCATGCTCTTCCAGCCCACGCTGCTCCGCTGCCGCTTCTCCACGTCCTCCCACCAGCCTGCGGTCGTGCAGTGGAAGTTCAAGTCCTACTGCCAGGACCGTATGGGGGAGTCCTTGGCTCTGTCCTCTCCCCGGGCCCAGTCTCTCAGCAAAAGGAACCTGGAATGGGACCCCTACTTGGACTGCGTGGACAGCAGGCGGACCGTCCGAGTGGTTGCTTCCAAGCAGGGCTCCACCGTCACCCTGGGCGACTTCTACAGAGGCCGGGAGGTCACCATCGTGCACGGTAAAGCTGCCCCTGCTTGGAATCTGGGCCACGGCGGGGCGGGGAGCAGGGGGTCCTGAGCGCCGCTCTTCCCAGACACAGCGGATGCTCGCCAGCCCCTCAGCCCTTCAACCCCTCGAGCCTCGGCTTTTACGGGGCGCGGCAGCGTCGCGAAGCCCGCAAGCCGCCTGCATCGGATGGTGAGGGGAGAGAGGGTGGAGCAGGAACTGTCTGGAGGGGACAGGGAGGAGTTTTGGAGGAGTCTTCCCCGAATCCGACCTCCAGTCTAGTTGTCAGAACTGAAATGAAACAGGTTCCCGTGAAAGAACTGCCCCAGTCAGCTGCTTGCACCGTGGCGTCGGCCGGAGGGCCCCTCCCCAAGCTCAGGAGGCAGAGGCCCTCCCTGGGGGAAGGCATGCGCGCCCGGGAGCCCGCAAGCCAGGCAGATGCGGCGCCACCAGACCAGGTGGTCTGGTCTCAATTCTACCCTCTGTCCCCAAAGCTCTGGCCAGGACGACGTCCTGAGAGGCTGGCGGGACCTGTGGGACTATGGGAGTTTCAAAGACGCCCTGGGAGGCCAGCTCCATCGCAGGAGCCCAGAGCAGTTCTCGCATGCGTGGCTCTCAGGGTCCCGTGCGGGCCGCCTGGACCGGGCCGGAACAGGGCCAGGACCGGGTTCTGCGGGGGCGCTAAGGCTCTCCCCTTAGGAACGTTCGGTGTCGTTCCTTCCCACGATTGTTTTCGATAACGCACACGCCCGTCGGGCCCCATCCAGGTGACCGCACGCCCCGGGGCCCCCTCCTGCCCGCGCGCCCCAGCGGTCCGCTTTCAGGACTGTTCTTCTTTTCCTGCTAACAGACGCAGATCTGCAAATCGGGAAGCTCATGTGGGGCGACAGCGGGCTCTATTACTGCATCATCACCACGCCCGACGACCTGGAGGGCAAGAATGAGGACTCGGTGGAGCTGCTGGTGCTGGGTAAGTGGAGACCGTCTGTGACGTTCTGTGGCTGCGCGAGGGCCTCTCGCCTTCCCCCGCCCCGTGCGCATCAGCAGGTCGCACACACAGCCCCGCCTCCGGTGGCCGTGTGTCTCCTGTGTCGTCTCTTGAGGGCTGAGGCCCTCTTGTTAGCTTTGCCTCGTGTGGTTTTTCTGCTTCCTTAGCTGCTTGCTTGCTTCCTTCCTTCCAGTGGCACCATTAACCCAGGCTCCCTGGCTGCTCTCCGCTCTAAGCTTTACTTACCCTTTTATTTGCCAATTGTTGAAGAAAATGCCAGGGCCTTTGAAGCAGGGCAGAGACCAGGGAGAGCGAGGAATTCACTGTGAGTCAGGGCCTCCGCAGAGACACCTCGGGAATCTTTTCCTATTTGTTAGCGCCGCTTGGGACAATTACGGGAAAGACGGCTGTGACTCGAAGACCGTGACAGTAAATGGCTGCTGGGGACACGGCCGTGTCTCCTCTGGAGGCGAATTTCTTGAAACCGCAAAGCGTCTGAGTTACGCTCAAAGCAAATCTATATCTAATCCTTATTAGTATTAATTTCCGCCCAAATGAAAACTCGTTACTTTGGCTACCGCTCCCCTTGCGTAGAGTCAAGGAGCGTCCATAGGGGAGGACCTCCTTCTACGAACCGGAAATTGGGCACGTATTTCGTGCCCCGTAGATGTTGGTGGAACAAGGAATTAGAATAGAACACAGGAATGAAAAGAGAAACTACGCAAATCGTAGGAGAAAAGGCAAGCACTGGAAGCCACTTTTTGAAAGAAATTACAGTGGTTTGTAGCTTTCAAGAGCCCACATGATGACAATTTGGGGGAAGGTTTAAGGCGCTTTCCTTTCAAGGCAAATGAGGTTGAAAGTTAATTTTCACCCTCCCTGGGAAACGCAGCGCCCAGGGGGAAAGTAGAATTTGCTACTTCGGAGTTTTTGTTTGATTCTACCATGACTGTGCCATTTTGGCAAATCAACAGTTCTGCCGCCTTCCTTTTATAACTCACAAAATGGATTAAGGTAATAATTATTTATAAATAATTAACTCTTTAATTATTATCAGCCCTTATTAAGGGGTTGACTTAATGCGAATGCATATGCCTTGCGTCCAGCATAGAATAAAGCCATTCCTGCTGGCATCTGTAAAGGAACGGGAAATGAGACAGGTACTGAAAAGGAAGTGGAGAAGCCAAAGTCTTCTATCGATGTTGTAAAAATATCCAGGGAAATCAGGTCGGGGATCAGCTGTGACTTGGTAGCTCAGAAGGGATCAAAAATAAATTCTGCCTAATCCCACGTCGCTAATGGCCAGGGCCAAGACAAGTGGCACACCGCGCCCGCAGTCAGCTGGCTGGGGACAGCGACTTGGCCAGCGCAGGCGTCGGGCGCGGGAGGAGGGGCCACAGGTAAAACCACTGCCAGTCATTCGGCCCCAGCTCCGCAGAGGCCAGGAAACCAGGACAGGAAGCGGCTGTCATCGGAGGACGTGCGTGGGTCTGAGGGCCCAGCACAGCGGGCACGGGCGGGCCAGGGTCCGGGGCAGGGGACACACGCGTCGCTCCGCATGCATTAGAGACGTCCAGAGCTCCAACCGTGGGCCACGTAAACTTTCCCGGGCAACGCTCGCTGTGTGAGTTATTTAGAGGGGTTAGCTAGCGATCTACAAGAACGTTCAATGAGCATCAAGGGTCCTCTCTGCCTCCCAAATGCAAAATTCTGAGTTCGTAGTATGTTTCACAATACTGTCCCCGTTTTCAAGGCTCCAAGTATGGGGTCGTTGTGTCCCGCAGGCCTGTGCGTTAGGTGTTCTTTGCAGGTGAGCCCCGGGGAGCGGCCTGAGGTCTGAGGTCAGCCTCACGGAGGAAGACCTCGGCAGGGAAGATGCCGGGGCCCGGTGTGCTGACTTCAGCCACCATGGGCCCCTGGTTCGGCCACTGAATGTCACGTGAGGCGTGCTCGGAGGGTCTGGTCTCATGAAAGAGGGCTGGGGACAAGGAACTGGGGGCAGTGTCTCCCGAAGAGAACTTGCGTGGAAGACGGACTGGAAGCTCACGGAGTGGCTGGAGACAGCGAGGACAGGAGCGAAGTGGCCAGGGAGGCGGTCCCTTTCGGGGTACAGCGGGAGCTGTGGACAAGTATGAAAGACCGGGAGGTCGCCCAGGAAGGTTCTACAAAGCGAAGAGGTCCGAGGGCGGAACCTGTCGGTCGTGTGTTCTGGTTTCACTTCCCGGGAGTGGCAATGTGAGCACTGTATGTGGATTTGCCTCGAAACTTTGGAAGCTTCTCAGCAGCCCCAGCCGTGAGCACTTCTGGGCGAGGGCCGACTCTCGTCGGGCTTCATGCTGGCGCCTGCAGTGAAGAAGTTGGAGGGCATGTGTTTTAAGTGGTAAGTGGACCGAAAATGTAACTAAGGCTCTGTGCCTCTTAAATGGTCGTCAATGCCAAGCATATATTTGTTGACTGATAAAGTGTCAATAAATGTCTGTAGTCTCAAGTGAGGTAACGTGGTTTAATCTCCTTGGCCATGATTCTCCTTCTGGGTATTCAGAGTATCCCTAGTGCCGGATCCATCGGGGACGATGGAAGCAACAGCATTAGATGCTGGTTAACTGAAGCCGGAAAGGGTTCACTGGAAGGAAATCAAAATCACAAGGAAGACCGGAAAGTCAGTCTCCGAAGAGCACAGTAGTATATCAGGGGAACACTTGCTAACTTCTGTAAAAGCAGCCCCCAAATCTCAGCCACCTACCGTGGAAGCCGGTGACTTCATCTCGTCCGGGACGGAGGTGGGAGGCGCACCCGGCCGCCCCGCTACGCAGCGGTCTGGGGCCCCAGGCTTCTGCGCTGTCCAGCCCTGCTTGGCGGAGACCTTTGCTCCCAGATGCAGAGAGAGAGAGAGAGAGAGAGGACAGAGACTTCTCAGAGGCCAGGCCTGGCACCGACACGGGTCACTTCTTGCTGTTTTCTACGTGCCCAGGGAGAGAGCAAGAATGTTTCGATGGTCACAGCGTGGTGCCCGGTCCTGCCCAAGGCGCACCAGGGTCCGTGCAGCGAGAAATGATGGGCAATGTGCTTAGGGCCGGGGGAAAAAAATCGATTCGACTGTTTTGTTTTTCTTCTGACCTTGCATTTTCCCACTGAAGAATCAGTCTCGGGAGAGAGGGTCCAGCTGGCCCAGTTTAGAAGATCAAGGACTCTTGGTCAGTGATCTGTCAGGACGTGGAAGAGGATTGGTGTCCCAAAATAAACAGGGGGACTGTCACGGAGAGGGGAGGCAGAACACGAGAAGCCCCCAGAAGCGCTGCATGGCCACCAAAGGGACGCCGTCGCTGTGCCTGCTGCTTATGGTGACGTGCGCCGGGAGTGCTCTGTAGCCTAATGTTCCCATTTTAACGTTGCAAGCGGGGTGGGAGCGGGGGGCCACTTTCCTCATTCTCCAAGTGGAGAATTCGATGCGCATGTTTTCTACCTACCCTCCCAGTGAAAACAACAGTGTTTTGACTCCTGGCCTTCCTCCCCTGCTTCCCCAAGACCCCCGACCTGTCTCTATGAGGAAGCAGGGGCGTGCTTCTGGCCGCGTGGTGGCTGCTGCTCGAGGTCACAGGGAGCGATGCGCGCGTGTCCCAGGTCGGCTTTAGGACTTCACTTCGTTTCTTAGTAAAACGGCCCATAGCTGCTGACCGAGGCCCCCCCGCCCCCCGGTCCGCAGCATGGCTGTTTCCGTCGGGATTGCCCCCTCCTCACCGAGCCCGGGCCGCCTCTCCCCAAACATCCGAACCACCCACAGGCCACCGCGGAGGCCCCTTTGGGTGGGTTCAGGAATACCCAAAGACAAGTGACTCGGAGAAACGGGGTCCGTGCCGATTCAGCACTAAGCGCGGACACCGTAGGGGCGCCCTTCCGAGTCTTTGCAACGATTCGTAAGGTGCAGCCATCCAGAAGCTGGGCGTGCACGCGGCGTTTCCCGTGCACGTGACCCTGGCACGTACCTTAGAAATATTTAGACAGATGGGTGGGACCAGAGAGCCAAGTCAGCACAGTCACAGAAGGCGGGAGCGTCCAGAAACCTGCCACCCTGAGGTTAGACATGGGTCCAGGACAGGCTGTCTCTAACCTGGAACCCTCCACCGATCGGTAGGAGCAGGTCCCCTCAGGCAGCTCTGGCTCCTGGGACGGGGATGTGCCGACCAGGAAGGCGCAAGCCGGGAGGCTGTCAGTTCAAAGTCTAAAAGCAGCTCACCTCGCTAGCCCTTCTTTCTGTGCACAGCATGAGGGCCTGACCTCTTCCATCTGAGGTCGCAGGTGGTCACTTGTTTTGTATTTTTAAAGGGCCTTTGAGCAGAAGAAGGAAGGAGGGGCCGGCGGAAACATGGCCGGATGCCCTTTCTCGCCTCTGGCCCAGGAGGAGACTAAGAGGCCACGAACCCAGGCAGAACCCAGGCGTGTTTAGATCAAAGCTAAGGAAGACTTTGCCAGGGCTAAGTGACAGGTTTGTGACGTTGTGGCCGGTGGAGGGAATTTATAGACGCTCCCTCTCCACAGGACTTTGCCATGGAACAGGACAGGAGGGCAGTCAAGCCGGCCTCAGAGACCCGCCTGCGCTTTGGACTTCATTTAAAAGTCCACAAGTTGTGGAATTAACTCTTTATACAGGCCTATGTCTGCCTCCAATCCTGCCCTCTCATTCTCTTTTAACAGCTTGTTTTAGAAGAAAATGATGCATGTTTCTTGTAAACATTTCAAACAAAACAGAAAAGGACACAAGAAAAGAGCTCCTAAAACCTCGCCATCCCGAGCAGACCGCTGTGTTCCCCAGAACGCGATCGCAAGGGACAGACCTGGGCCAGGGGGACTTCTGGGCTCAGGGAACAAAGAGGTCCGGGGGCCTTCCCAGCTTCAAGGCTGGTGCGTGCCAGTGCGCTGCGTGTTTTGAAGGCCCTCTGTCCCTTCTGTGCCTGCCGTGTCCCCAGGCACGGCCTCGCCAGCAG